GAGCCATTCACAGCACCATCAGGAAGTGAAGGCAGGGAGCAGCGCAAGGCCCGGTTGTGTCTGTTTACTGAGTTCTGTAGGCCTCACCACCTATCATGTAGTAGTCTTTTTATGGAAACTAGATAAACAATATGCGTCACCATGGCTATTTCACTTTATCAGAGAAGTGGAATAAAGGCTTCTACAAACTGCAGATATCACGCACGTGTGTGGGCCTTTCCAAGCTATTATTGCACAAAATCAGAAAGAAATTGAAATGTTTTCTACCAATGACTGATTATTTTTATCCAAGTCAGACAGAAAAATATTTCTAAACATATAGATGTTTACCATCTGTTCCTAGAGGCATTCATGTAACTGTGACACCCTTTCTATCAGCCCTTTAGGTTTGCAGTTTTCCATGCCAAAGAGACTAACCATCTTCTGCATTTTAACCCCAGCTCAGAGACACTTCCAGGAATTCCAGTCCTCCAAGATATCAAATGTCTTTATTCCTGTTCTACACTTCAGTTTTGTGCTGAAAACATATAAAGGAGAAAGAATGAGGGAGGAGGAATTCTGCCCCCTTTTTTTTTGTTTTCAAAATTTGTGTCATTCATTTTATTTCTTTTTTCTTTATTATACTTTAAGTTCTGGGGTACATGTACAGAACGTGTGGTTTTGTTACATAGGTATACATGTGCCATGGTGGTTTGCTGCACCCATTAACTCGTCACCTACATTAGGTATTTCTCCTGTTATCCCTCCCCAGCCCCTCAGCCCCCAATAGGCCCCTGTGTGTGATGGTCTCTGCCCTGTGTCCACGTATTCTTATTGTTGAACTCCCACTTACGAGTGAGAACATGTGGTGTTTGGTTTTCTGTTCTTGTGATAGTTCGCTGAGAATGATGGTTTCCAACTTCATCCATGTCCCTGCAAAGGACATGAACTCATCCTTTTTAATGGCTGCATAGTATTCCATGGTGTATATGTGCCACATTTTCTTTATCCAGTCTATTGCCCTCTCTTTAATCCATGGTCTTCTCACCTTTGCTTACCAATATTTGTTGAATGATGTGTTGATGTCTCAGTTTTACCTTCATCTTGCACTCACTGTGTTTCAGTGGATCCTTACCTTCTTTCTAATCTCTTCTTTGTGATCTTATTTATCAGGATCTTTCCTTGAGGGACTTGGGATATGTAACACATAATGTGGAATCAGCCAGGGCCCATTTATCTGTTCAGTTATACTTATCTGACTATTATATTTAATTTATGAGGCATTGTCTGGCTCATAAAGTTTGTAAAAATACAACCTTCCCTCTCTTTCTCTTCCTGTTCCACCCCGCTCACTTCCTACACTGATACATTTGTTTGTTTGTGCTCCCAAAGAAGACCCCTGTGATTTCTCCCCACTTCTCCAATTGCTCCAGACTCTGACAAGGTTAAATTGTTGGCCTGATAACATGTTCTCAAGAGGCACCCATGATTGTTGTCCTAGTGCCTAATCAAGAAGGTTAGAGAAAATTCAACTGCAGGACCACAGTGTCATCATGGGAAGGGAGGAAATCAGATCAGTTTGCTTAAAGGATATCTGCACTCACATGTTCAATGCAGCACTATTCACAACACCCAAAATATGAAACCAACCTAAGTGTCCATCAACAGATGAATGGATATGTGGTGTGTACACATAATGAAATACTATGCAGCTGTCAAAAAGAGGGAAGTCCTGTCATGTGCCACAACATGGATGAACCTGAAGGACATGATGCTGAGTGAAATAAGAAGTGCAGAAAGGCATACAACTGTACAATTTCATTTATATGTGCAATATAAGAAAGTCAAACTCACAGAAGCAAAGAGTGGAACGGTGGTTACCAGCAGCAAGTTGAAGTAGGGTGCAGAGGTGGGGTTGGTTTGGGGAGATGATGTTCGAGGATATAAGATTTTAGTTAAGTAGAAGGAATAAATTCAGAAGATTTATTGTATATCATGAGAGTTATAGTTAATAATAATGTATTGTACACTTGAAAATCGCTAAGAGAATAGATTGTATATGTTCCCATCACAAAAAAATGATAAGTATGTGCAATAATAAATATGTTAATTAGCTTGACTTAGTCATTTCACAATGTTTATATATATATGTCAAAATATCATGCTGCATACCATACTACAAACTACCATCAGAGAATACTATAAACACCTCTATGCAAATAAACTAGAAAACCTAAAAGAAATGATAAATTCCTGGACACATGCACTCTCCCAAGACTAAACCAGGAAGAAGTTGAATCCCTGAACAGAACAATAGCAGGCTCTGAAATTGAGGCAAAAATTAATAGCCTACCAACCAAAAAAAAATCCAGAACCAGATGGATTCACAACCGAATTCTACCAGAGGTACAAGGAGGAGCTGGTACCATTCCTTCTGAAACTATTCCAATCAATAGAAAAAGAGGGAATCCTCCCTAACTCATTTCATGAGGCCAACATCATCCTGATACCAAAGCCTGGCAGAGATACAACAAAAAAAGAGAATTTTAGACCAATATCCCTCATGAACATCAATGCAAAAATCCTCAATAAAATACTGGCAAACAGAATCCAGCAGCACATCAAAAAGCTTATCCACCATGATCAAGTGGGCTTCATGATGCAAGGCTGGTTCAACATATGCAAATCAATAAACGTAATGCAGCATATAAACAGAGCCAAAGATAAAAACCACATGATTATCTCAATAGATGCAGAAAAGGCCTTCGACAAAATTCAACAGCCCTTCATGCTAAAAACTCTCAATAAATTCAGTATTGATGGAACATATCTGAAAATAATAAGAGCTATTTATGACAAACCCACGGCCAATATCATACTGAATGGGCAAAAACTGGAAGCATTCTCTTTGAAAACTGGCACAAGACAAGGATGCCCTCTCTCCACCACTCCTATTCAACATATTGTTGGAAGTTCTGCCTAGGGCAATTAGGCAAGAGAAAGAAATAAAGGGTATTCAAATAGGAAGAGAGGAAGTCAAATTGTCCCTGTTTGCAGATGACATGATTGTATATTTAGAAAACCCCATTGTCTCAGCCCAGAATATCCTTAAGCTGAAAAGCAACTTCAGCAAACTCTCAGGATACAAAATCAATGTGCAAAAATCACAAGCATTCTTATACACCAGTAACAGACAAACAGCCAAATCATGAATGAACTCCCATTCACAATTGCTTGAAAGAGAATAATATACCTAGGAATCCAACTTACAAGGGATGTGAAGGACCTCTTCAAGGAGAACTACAAACCACTGCTCAGTGAAATAAAAGAGGATACAAACAAATGGAAGAACATACCATTTGGATAGGAAGAATCAATATCGTGAAATGGCCATACTGCCCAAAGTAATTTAGACATTCAGTGCCATCCCCATTAAGCTACCAATGAGTTTCTTCACAGAATTGGAAAAAACTGCTTTAAAGTTCATATGGAACCAAAAAAGAGCCTGCATTCCCAAGACAATCCTAAGCCAAAAGAACAAAGCTGGAGGCATCATGCTACCTCACTTCAAACTATACTACAAGGCTACAGTAACTAAAACAGCATGGTACTGGTACCAAAACAGAGATATAGACCAATGGAACAGAACAGAGCCCTCAGAAATAACACCACACATCTACAGCCATCTGATCTTCGATAAACCTGACAAAAACAAGAAATGGGGAAAGGATTCCCTATTTAATAAATGCTGCTGGGAAAATTGGTTAGCCATAAGTAGAAAACTGAAACTGGATCCTTTCCTTACTTTATACGAAAATTAATTCAAGATGGATTAGAGACTTAAATAGTAGACCTAAAACCACAAAAACCCTAGAAGAAAACCTAGGTAATATCATTCAGGACATAGGCATGGGCAACGTCTTCATGTCTAAAACACCAAAAGCAATGGCAACAAAAGCCAAAATTGACAAATGGGATCTAATTAAACTGAAGAGCTTCTGCACAGCAAAAGAAACTACCATCAGAGTGAACAGGCAACCTACAGAATGGGAGAAAATTTTTGCAATCTATTTATCTGACAAAGGGCTAATATCCAGAACCTACAAAGAACTCAAACAAATTTATAAGAAAAAAACAAACCACCCCATCAAAAAGTGGGCAAAGTATATCAACTGACACTTCTCAAAAGAAGACATTTATGCAGCCAACAGACACATGAAAAAATGCTCATCATCACTCGCCATCAGAGAAACGCAAATCAAAACCACAATGAGATACCATCTCATGCCAGTTAGAATGGCCATCAATAAAAAGTCAGGAAACAACAGGTGCTGGAGAGGATGTGGAGAAATAGGAACACTTTTACACTGTTGGTGGGACTGCAAACTAGTTCAACCATTGTGGAAGACAGTGTGGCGATTCCTCAAGGATCTAGAACTAGAAATACCATTTGACCCAGCCATCCCATTATTGGGTATATACCCAAAGGATTATAAGTCATGCTGCTATAAAGACACATGCACATGTATGTTTATTGCGGCACTATTCACAATAGCAAAGACTTGGAATCAACCCAAATGTCCATCAGTGACAGACTGGATTAAGAAAATGTGGCACATATACACCATGGAATACTATGCAGCCATAAAAAAGGATGAGTTCGTGTCCTTTGTAGGGACACGGATGCAGCTGAGATTGTGTAGGGACATGGATGCAGCTGGAAACCATCATTCTCAGAAAATTATCGCAAGAACAGAAAACCAAATGCCGCATGTTCTCACTCATAGGTGGGAACTGAAGAATGAGATCACTTGGACACAGGAAGGGGAACATCACACACTGGGGCCTATTGTGGGGTGGGGGAAGTGGGGAGGGATAGCATTAGGAGATATACCTAATGTAAATGACGAGTTAATGGGTGCAGCACACCAACATGGCACATGTATACATATGTGACAAACGTGCATGTTGTGCACATGTACCCTGGAACTTAAAGTATAGTAAAATATATATATATTATATATATACACACACAATTTTTATTTGTTGGTTTAAAACACTTAAATTTAAATTTCAACAAATGGAAAGGGAAATGGGTTTGGAGTCACTCAGAACTGGATCAGATTCCTGGCTGCACAATTTACATGGACAAATCCTTTAACCTTGATGAATGTCCACTTTCTCATCTTTAAAATTTACCTAATAATACTCACCACAAGAAATTTCTGGAAATATGAAATAAACTAATGTACATGAAATGATTGGCAGATTATAGATGATCAGTATCAGGGTTAGTTTCCATCTCTCTGCCCCTCAGTTTCATTCCTTCTGCCCTCTCTTCTGCCCAGGGCTCTTTCATTCTATATCTGATACACAGACAAAATACAATAAATAGTTATTGACTGGGTGAACTTGTGTAAAGATGCTGGTAAGCAGACCATGTTTGCAAATGTGTAGAGTAATATCACCCTTTTTGCCAACCCAAATTCTTGCTTTGCATCGGGACTTCCTTAGGTCTCCAGAATTCCCAGATAGATAACAAGAGGGATACAGGTGTGATGGATATTATTGTGTTTTTTTTTTTATGTGCATCAATATGTATAACTCTGCATATAGATATTTACACTGGGTGGATTTATATAAATTTTCTGTTTCTAGGCAAGAATTTCCTACATTCCACCTTTCTGGATTATGAGGAAATCCTTGAATAGTGTGGGCTCTGCCAACCTCTCCGTCTAATTTCCTGACATCTCTTTTCCCTTCCAGCATTCCCATGCCGTCTAAATAATTCAAAAGTGCTGCTATCTCCTCGATGCCTTTGCACAAATCATTTCTTCCATTAGACACATCCTTCCCTTAATCTACCATGTATTAACTCATCCTTTAGCTCAACCATTACTTCTGAGAAGACTCTCCTAACACCACCTCCTCTTTTCTGAGAGTTGTCTAGGCTTTTCTACTCACCATATTTGCCATTTTATTATTGGTTTAGTTTCTGTCTATTTCTTCCCCTAGATTCTCATCCTCATGAGAGCTGAGTCAGCAATTTTTCTTGCTTTCTTCTGTGTCTCTATAATACTCCATAGTTCCTGGCACATAGTAGGTGCTTTAAAAGTATTTGTTGAAGGAATGAATGAAGAGGTGAAAGCACTTCACAAATTCACATTTGCTTCTCTTCAAGTAATGCTCCTGTAAGTAGAAAATGGTTGGATATCTTTCCAACAAGGTCATGTTATATAATCTGGCAAACCTGAAAATGATTTTATGTCCATCTGAGTCCTCAGCACTTAACTCAATATTGTTTTTAAAAAGTTTATCATAATAAAATACAACTAAACTTTCAGTGGGTTTATAGAGGAAATACAGGAAAGAAATATCCCTTTTAAACAGGAAAGCTTCATGGGCCATTCACATCTAATGTGCAGCAGAAGCAATTATATGTATTGTTTCCAATTCCATTATTATACCCATGATTTTTCAATGACGATGCAACCACATACCTCTGATTTCCTTCTCAGAATCTTTGTGATGTTGTCGATACAGGTGCACGCCTTCAGTATGTACAACATGATTCATAGAGTGTATGACATCACAGGAGGTTTAACAAACATAAGAAGTAACTAGAGTACAGTTGCTTGACTGGTGTTGCTAGGTTACTATCTAGTAATCCTCTTGCTTATCTTGGGTTTCTGGTATTTTCAATTCCATTTAGTGAGGGTTGGAGCTACCCTGATGTGTCTAGTTCTGCAATATATTCAAAGTGTAGCCAAAAAGAGGTGGCTATTCATTATCGGTGGGAGCTAAGTGTTTAAAAAAACACATGCAATGAGAGAAACAGACCAAATCATCAGGAAGGACAGTGTCAGGAAGCTTTGTCTGACTTATTTTAATTCCTTTTTTTAACTATCTGACTGCATGTAAGTATTCATAAAGCTTATCTTGCCAATATAAAATGTGCTAATCATGATATTAACATTTTTACCTGTTGATACATATATTCTACCTCCTAAATGTCTTTTATTGGGAGAAAATTGGGTAGGTAACATGGTTTTCAGTAGTTCAAATTTGCCACTCACGGATATTTAAAAATAGAATAATGGCAACATGGCTTTCCTAGAAATGCAAGAAGAATCATCCACTGACTGTCATAAAGCACAAACCATGAGTAACATACATGGGACATAAGAAATAGTTATGAACTTTTTTCTCCATTTAGGCCTAGAGAGCTGAAGAAGAGAAAGAAAAAATGAAAAGACAAGAAAAAAGAAAAGAAGAGAGAGTGAGAAAGAAGAAAGAACAAAAGAAAGAAAAAGACAAAGAAAAAGAGAAAGTAAAAGAGAGAAAGAAAAAGAGAGAGAGAAAGAAAGAAAGAAAGAAAGAAAGAAAAAGAAAGAAAGAAAGAAAGAAAGAAAGAAAGAAAGAAAGAAAGAAAAAGAAAGAAAAGAAAGAGGGAGGGAGGGAGGGAAGGAAGGAAGGAAGGAAGGAAGGAAGGAAGGAAGGAAGGAAGGAAGGAAGGAAGGAAGGAGGCAGAAGAGAGAAGAAAGAGAAAAGAAAAGAAAAGGAAGGAAGAAAAAGAAAAGAAACTCAATAAATGAGAAGAGTCATTCGTCCATTGAGGCAGGCAGGAAATCACTATGTATATTTTACACAGATAATAAATGGCAGGGATATTGCTGAGGGCAGGAGGAAAGAGGAATTAAACCCACAGAAAATTAGACAAAGTGCAATACTCTAGGAGTTAGACCTCCAAATTAAATCCTTACAAAACTGTTGAGCAAGTGTTTTGATATGTGCATAAGCAGAGTTCTGCGAGAACACAGAAGTTTTAATGCCTCCTGGAGGACAGCAGGGAGGCCTCAGAGAGAAGACAGTCCTTGAGCGGACTTTCACAGCAATTGCATATTTCCTCCACCAAAATCTCCATAAGGCACTGAAGTAATTCACTGCATTGCTGAACAGAAAGTTTATGAAGGGGAATAAAATACATCTGAGATTGGACAGCCACTTGAATTACCTCTAAAGTTCACACAACTCCAAGGTAACATTAACAACCACAACAATTACTACTATTACTAACATTTATTCACAATATTTTATTTTAAATTACCATTTGTTAAATGCTAAGAATGTACAGGAATTAATGCTATAGAACAGAAACCGTAAGTGGAAGGAGGCAGTATCTCTCACTGATTAAAAATGAATGAGGACATGCATTGAACAATGAGATAGTTTAATAATGTGTCTCATGTGAACCTGCATAAGACAGAAAAAATCTTGCTCTTTAAATCCATTAAACAATAACAAAGAAATTGGTGTCACAAAACTTAGATATGTGTATGCAGCTATATTAAATAAAACAAAGACCAAAAGAACTGGAATAATCTTAATTAGATATTTATTCTAGTCAATATCTATATCTAGTGTGTACCATTTTGGACAGTTGTCTTTCTTTCAAAACCCTTCAGCTAGTATGCCTACCCCACCGTCACCTCCACTGCAGCCTTCAAGACCAAAGTCTCACGTTATTTTGTTGATCAAGGAGCCAAGTTCAAACAAACATAATCAACAGAGTTGTGGTAAAAATTGTAGTTTGTTAAATAGTTTACTGGCTCAACTTAAGCATAAAAAATGTCTAATTTTGCCAGAATATTGCAGTAGAATCTTCGTGAAAGATATTGGGGCAGAGTCTACAAAAATTTAGCCTAACTAGATTGGAAAGGAAACAAAAATTTAAAACAAAGAAACCAAAAAAATGTGTGTGTGATTAGTCATAGCTTGCCAATAGCTCCTCCAGCCAATAGAACCCCAGAAGCAGTTTCCTCTGCTGATCCCATACCATCTTCTCAGATCATTCTTTTTAAGAGGCCCCAGTGATAGTCAGTTCCACTAGATGTGTGCTGACTCAGTCTGGCCAGCCAAGCGTGATTGAGAGCTCACCTGAATGCAGGAGCCATGAACCAGTCAGTTCATCTCTGAAGTGAGAGAAAGAACAGTTCACATCTTCGCTAATTAGATACTAGCAAACTAAATGAGTAGATTCATAGGAGTAGGCTATCATTTTACCACCTGAATGAGAAAAGGAGAGGTGGCACAGATATGATTCTTCAGCAAATTAGCTACAGCTGCCAAATTGCACTTTCAGACAGCCCAAGACAGTAACTATTTAACAGAATATCTGTGCTGGGCCTAAAATTTTCCTAAGACATGTTTTTATATATCTTATCATCAGTTGGGCTGAGGTATAGACTAAGAAGTTAGATGAGACATTGGTTTATCTTTCTAACTGAATTAAGTTTGTGAAAGTGCACAGAAAAGATGGATTCATTTAACACTCATAACTTTGATTTATTTTGCCTTGGTGCATTTATCTACAAAATGAGACAGACAAATATCTGTTTAAAGGCACCTCCTGGTATTGAGCTGAAAGTAACATAAATAAGAAATGCATTTTAAAAGCTAAAAATGCAAGTGTAATTTTTATAGTGGATGATTTTTCTCTTTAAGCTACTGATTTTTTTAAAGTCTTATTTTCTTTGTATTTTGTTTCTACCTTTGCAGCATGAGAATACTTTTTTTTTTTTTTTTTTTTTTTTTGTGAGACAAAGTTTGCTCTTGTCGCCCAGGCTGGAGTGCAATGGCACGGTCTTGGCTCACTGCGACCTCTGCCTCCTGGGTTCAAGTGATTCTTGTGCCTCAGCCTACCAGGTAGCTGGGATTACAGGGGCCCACCACCACACTCGGCTACTTTTTGTATTTTTAGTAGAGATGGGGTTTCACCGTGTTGACCAGATTCATCTTAAACTCCTGAGTTCAGGTGGTCCTCCTGCCTCGGCCTACCAAAGTGCTGGGATTACAGGTGTGAGCCACTGTGCCCGGCTGAGAGTACTTAATACTTACAAATATAAAGGACAATTGTTCAAATCTAATAGTAAAACTATAATTAGATATTAATCTGTCAAAGTGCTTAACTCTACTAGATCAACAAGATTCTAAATAACAACCTGAAACAGAACATGTCATTAATGAACAAATTTTCAAAAAGTAAATTACATTTAAAAATTCCTTGAGAGTAGATCTCATGTTAAACATTTTACCACAATAAACTAAAAGAAAAAATGTTTAAGTAAATAATTTGTAATTTTATTGGGTTTTCCTATTTGAAAATGTCTTTGTGGACTTCAGGGAAAGGATGCTGTATAAGAAATTATTATTTTACAAATCTCATGTTGATTTTAGGCTCCACCGAAGAATATGATTAGAGTTTGGCCCACAAACTGTTGACAGAAACATTGTATTCAAATTTTGTCTGGTGACTGTCAATGAATGAAAAGTTTATGAAGATGTTTGTCTTTTATATTATATTCCTTCCTATTCTGTCCTCATATGTGTGCACTGGGGGATGATAGGGAGATGATGACAGTAGAGATTTATTAAAGGAGGACTAATTATTTTCTGGCCAATTTCTAATCTAAATCTAAATTCCTAAGAAAAAAAAGACAAGTCTTTCATGGAACTGCTACTTAGCAGACACCAATTTCTGCTGTCATTTCCAGAAAAGCACAATGATTTAGTGTGGGACTCTAACATCAGACTTTTGGGTTGGGATCTCCGCTGTCATGCACTGGCTGTGTGACAGAGGGCAAATTATTTGACTATTTTATCTCTATGTTCTCATGTGTAGAGTGGGAATAATATACAGTTGTTAAGATTCAGTAAGTTAATACATGTAAAATGCCCAGAACATAGTTAATGCTCAGTAAGTTTTACTTATTATATCAATTTTTTAAAAATTTGTGGGGTTTTTTTTGGAAAAAATTAATCTTCTCTGCTGTTAGAAAACAAGAGTTGCTTAAGGTGAAATGAAAGAAAGAAAAGTAAAGAAATAAAATTCTATTAGTCTACTAGTTGTGGAAAAATCATATTTTATATCTGACTCAGAATTGAAATGGAGGACCTCAAGAAGAGAAGACTCAGTCACACCAGAAGAAAAAATTTCCCATGAAACTTGAACTATTGCTAGCAGAGGTCACCATGCAAAAGCAGGAGCCTGCAAGCATTGTTGAACATACAGTCTTTTTAGAGGACAGCCCAGGGACACAGGTCAAAACTATGCAACTTCCATTCTCTACTACTCAGCTCTTCTTAGGAATATAAGTGCTAAAAAATCAGTCGAGAAGGGAATAA